AGATGAGATGGACATACCATTTTCCCTAAGAATACTGACCAGAGCTACTTGCTGCTGTAGTGTTTATCCCTATCATAGCACATGGATTACAGTCCTAACCTTACATTCAAAGTTTGGCATAAAATATCTGGTCTTAATTATTAGTATTGCGCTGTTTCCTTTTGGTTTTTAAAAACAAAAGACATTTTCTCGTATTCTGTTTTATTAGCATTTCCATTTACAAAATATTGCAATTCTTGATAGCTGAAAATTAAATGAATGCTAGCAGTGAGCCACAATTTTTTTCTAAATGGGAAATGGTTTAAGGAGAGTGTCACATATGAAATAATATCCAACATTTAGCTATAAAAATGGCTGAGTGAACAGATATGTTCAAGCATAAACTGATTAATGAATGAGTCTTAACTGTGTGCTAACTTCTCTCTGTTAATTAGCACATCATTAAGGAGGGCCCATGTTACACTTCAAGCTGTCTATCTTGAGCTTTCATTTTTATTAAAACTTCGGCCAGGTTAAAGCCATAGTAGCTATCTGTGGAAGATAACAGCCAAGAGTTTTACAAATACAGCAGCAATATCTGATGGAAATATAATGTGACCCATAAATACAAACTACATATAGAATTTTAAAATTTTGTAGTAGCCACACTAAGAAAGAAAAGAATGAAATAAATAATGTTGTATTTGACCAAACCCACTGTATCTAATATATTAAAATATTACAATTTTAATGTGCCATCAATGCAATATTTTATTTTTTTGTACTAAGCCTTCAAAATTCAGTATGTATTTTGCATTTACTACTCCTCTCAAGTTAGACTAGCTACTTTTCAGGTGTACAAGAACTGCAAGTGGATTGGTGGCTGCATTGACCTTACACAACTTGAATCCCATTCTTCCTAGTACTGATAAGACCTTGCCACTGCTTGTATTATTTTTGTTGTTATGAAAGAAAATGGAAACAAAACATTGCAAACTGTATGAGTACTAGACTTTTTACCCCACTTCAGCAGAGTAGTCAAAGAATTCCACTGTGAAAAAAGAGATTCGGGGATTAAGTTAGAGAAATTCCATTCCTTTACCTTCTTTTGGAGGTTACATGGTGAGTTTACATTGTAGGCTCTGAGCAAACTCTCCTGGATAAAGAACTCTATTTGAAGTTGACTTGTTGAACTCTGTGTCTATAGTAGTTCTGGAAATTGCCGTAAGTGTCTACACACACACACACACACACACACACACACACCTTCATGTTTTCCTCTCTTTCGCACTCTGTTTTGAGCTCATCTCTATTTATCTTTATATTCAGAATCACCTGGGAACTATGATATTGCCCTTGTTCTAAAATAAGTACTTACTAAATTGAAATCAGCAGATGGCTTTAAAGTCTTACACATGAACGTAGACCTTTAGAAAGTACCGAAATACACACTTTCCTCTTATTCTTTCAGAAATGATGAACACTCTAAAAAGAAGGGGAAACATCTGAATATGTATATGTGTAAACATGGAATCCATAGGTGTAGAGTACAATTTTGCAAGTCCTTTTTTTCATATTTTACGTGCTCCAGTGTGTATGCTTCTTGTATACCAAGTAGTTATGGCATAGCAATCAGTTTAGAGATTATATATACTACACTTGTCTACCGTCAATTTATAACAAATAATCTTTTTACAACATGGTTTTTAATGGGGTCTCTGATGTTTCCCTTTGTTTTGTTTTAATATCTGTGCTTAAGTGGAAATTACCAATAAAATAAGTTCTGCTGCTGAATTTGGTTCAAGTTAACTGTGGTAGCTCGTATATGTGGATGCAATCAAATAAGCAGATTGATTTAAATGATCAGCTTTGTTTTTCTTCTTTAGGCATTAGTATTTAAATATTAGAAACGTCTTCTGAAGATTGTAGCAGCAATAGAATCATTTTGCTCTTGAAAATGCAGTGTAACGGTTTTATGTAGACTCTCCAGGAATAGGACTATAATATTATATATGCAAAAGTTTGGTTTTAGAATCTGATCAAGAAGCTCAGGCCATTCTTTAAATGGAAAACAATTTCCCAAGTTTAAATATCTAAGGGAGATCCGTGTGGAAGGGAAGTCTGAATTTTAATCTTTTGGTTTTAATGAAACCAAATTCACAAAAATTTTCAAGCTGGATTTTGTACAATACAGTTATTAAGGGAAACATTTTGCAAAGCCATATACATCTTGGGAATAATTAAGCAGTGTGTTTTATTTTAGTTTTGTAATGTGCATTGCCCAGTGAATTAAATTTGTTCCACCAAAAAGCTACCCTCTCCAACTTGCAATACTTACAGAAATACAATTTTGTCAATGGAGAGAAAAGGTTCATCTTCCTCGTGCTACATTCATAAGCAGCAAATTAGTGTAACCCCTTACTTATTTGGGGGAGATTACAAAGGAATAATCTGTCAATATAGTATAATTGCTTATTCCTAATTGTACTCCAAAGTAAAGAAGTAACTATTTAAAGTACTACTGAATTTTTAAGAACTATTCAATAAATTAGTGTTATTAATAATATTATACTCTGCAATATATTTGTCTCAGCATAAATTAAGATTTAAAAATATGAAATTAATAAAAGTATAGCAAATACTAGAAATTAGTTATTCCTACTTTAAAATCCTATTTTCATTAACATTAAATCCAACACCAACTGTTGATATACCCAAAGTTTTGAGAGACTTGCACATGAAATGAAAGACAAGTTAGTTGACCACTTGCTAATTAGTACATTCTCTTAGGGGTACTCTGATTTGCTTTCAAAGATTTATGGGTAGTAATTAGTCCTTCGTTTAGAGCAGAATATTTTGCCAGGTATTTCACTACATCACGAAATGTCATACAACTACATTTCATAATAAAATCAAATTCGCAAGAGTTCTTGTATGTTCTTTCTTTCTTTCTTTTTTTTTTTTTTTTTTAGTTTTTTTCTGGTTCTGGGAATCAAAGTCACGACCTCGTGCTTGCCAGGCAGGCTCTGTGCTGCTGAGCTAAATCCCCAGCCCCTGTTCTTTCTTATTATACCAAAACATTACTGTCTATAAGTCTGTTATTGTGTACATAATATTTTAAAAATAATGAGAACTTCAGTGTCAGTGAGGAAGCAAAATGCAAGATATGACACTAAGTTGATCTTCAGTGAAAACCCACTTAGGTGTTTGACAGGGAAACTAGAAATCCTAACCTGTAATATGTATGTTATTCTCAAAGTGAAAATGATGATAGAGAAAGGCTTTAATACTGGGGTTAGCTGGTCCACAGACTGACCAAGAAGGTCCAATTTACAAATGTCCAAATGTTATTGGTGGGTCCCAGAAGGGTAAGTCCCACAGTCTGTTGATGTTGCTTCTGCTCACAGTGCACTGCATGATTTATTGAAATCTCTCTAAAAGTAAGATTGAGTCAGAAGCTTAGAGATTATGCCCCTTCCTGTTTTAAAAATTGCTGTTACAACGTTCTAAACACTGTGATCTTTCCAATGTGTTTTCTGTATTAGTTTTGTACTGTAGAAAATAATTCGCCATAAACTGTGCTGTATAGTGTTTAAAGTGAAGTTATTTATTGGCTTACTGCCTCTGTGCCCGACAACATGGTCCACTTAATAATGTAAAACGTATGGTAATCCTTTGCTTTAGAATAAAGTCTAATGCTAAATATTTACTGTGTTCCAGTTAATAATCTAAGCTACTAATTAATTTTCCTTTCAAAGCTAACCACAGTGTCAAATAAAATCTTACACAAATACTCTATGAAGTGGTTGTTGTGCTGATTTTGTGTTTGTGATAATGTGTGTTTCTTGATCCAGGACACGATGGCCTGCTGGGTTCTATAAATAGACATTAGTAATCCTTTTGGAAAAGGAGCCTGGTACCTCTCAGTTGTCTGCTGAATCCTCCCCACGAGTCTTATAAATAGATTTTCTCATGTCGTACACCAACCAAGTGAAACAACCCATCATGTGGTACCCCACTACATCTTTGTTTTGATCGCTTTTGAATCTTTATATTGTATTTTTCACATTACTTTCCTAAATAAAAAATCACTGAGAGGCCTAAAGAATAAAATCATCCAGTTTCAGCAGACAGGGATCTTAGTCTAACTCTGGAGGGACACGTTAAGCCTGTGTTTTAAAGAGTTTTAGTGAATTGATCAAGGTCTGAAGTTTAGGGCTGGAGTGAATAAATTCTGATGCTAGAAAGTGGTTCAAAGTTCAGTACCTACGAAGACCTGTATTAGTGTTAGGATTTGTACACCAGTACGAAGAGGCCTGCCTCGGGCTGGAAAACTGCTTCCTTATTAGGTCCTGGTCTTTGACCTGAGTTAGTCACAGTTATGAGGGAATACATTCTGTAAGCAATTTTTCTCATAGGGAAAGCATGGGCTTCTAGCTCTTTCATCATCGGAAGGAGTATCTCTGACCTCTGCATTTGGAGGTCTATTTCTAAATGACAGCAAACTGGCCCTGGGAAGAACCAGGCTCTCCTCCGCCCAGAAAATCAAAAATAGGCTGAAAAGGCTTCCGTAACCCAATTAGGAACCCTACTGGCTGCGGCTTCTCAAAGGGCTGTGGATGGTTTCCAAAGAAAGCACAGGCCGAGCGACTCTAGGACCCAGAGACTGCGCCGGGGGCCGCTGGATTCGCCGCAGCGTTCAGGGCTCCCGCGTGCGGCGCGGCGCGGCGCGGCGCGGCGCAAGCTGTCTGTCGACACCGGTTCGCGGCCCGCAGGGGCCAGTTGCCTTAGCGACGCCGAAGACATTCCGGCGCGCGGGCGGCGCACGGTGCGTGTGGGCGTGTCCCGTGGGGCCGCGCTCCCGCCCCACCCCAGCAGGGTCGGTTGCCCCCAGGCCCCAGCTCCAGAGCCCGGGCCGGTGGGCCGGGCCGCGTGCCCTCCGCGGGCTGCGCAGAGCGCGCGAGCGGGTCGGAGCTGGGCATGCCGGGAGCCCCTCAGGGAGCTGCCACCGCCAGCCGCCGCCGGCAACCGCCAACCGCCGCCGGCCGCCTCGCCCGCCGCTGCCTCCGCGTCCGGCCCGGTGCGCGCCGCTGACGCGCGGAGATGAAATTCCCGGCCTCCGTGCTGGCGTCCCTGTTCCTCTTCCTGGCCGAGACGACGGCGGCGCTCTACCTGAGCAGCACCTACAGGTCGGACGGGGACCGCATGTGGCAGGCGCTGACGCTGCTTTTCTCGCTGATGCCCTGTGCTGTGGTGCAGCTCACGCTCGTCTTCGTGCACCGCGACCTCAGCCGGGATCGCCCGCTCGTGCTGCTGCTGCACCTGCTGCAGCTCGGGCCCGTCATCAGGTGCGTGTGGAAGCCGGGGCCAAGCCCAGGCCGCGGGCCGCCAGCCTGCTCCGGGGAGGGGCCCCGGCCGGCCCGCGCTCCCGGCAGTGTGGCGGGACCCTAGCGTGTGGGTACTAAGGCGGCGGTTCGCCGCGGTCCTGTTCCGCGCTGGCCTACACACGGCCAACGCTCACCTCAGTCTGACAGACAAAAATGGCAGTGCGGTGTGGCTCCGTCTCATGGCATACATGGCGGTCTCTGGTGGGCGCGGGCGGGACTGCCGGGGCCGTGTGCGCTCGCAACCCCTGGGAGTGTGTTCTGGGCTGCGGTCACGGTTCAGAACTACGATAGCGTGTGCCCGTGAGTCCCTTTGACTTATCGGACACGTGGAGGTTACTGTGTGCCGGGCACCGCTCTGAGCACTTTACAGATACGAATTTATGTAATTCCCACGCAGAAGTCTAGAAATCCCCGCACCACTCTTCTCTCTTTGGTGGTTTACTAATTATGGAGGTGGAAACATTGGGATGTAGAAATGTCTTCAGGCCCTTCCTAACAGTCATGAACTCTGCTAAACAGTGGGTCCGTAACACAAAAACTTGTTGTGTGTTAAGAAAAAGCGTGACATTTCTGGAAATTTATTTTTATGAACACAACGCAAATAGAAATAAATGATTGGGCCGGGGATATAGCTCAGCAACACAGGTGTCTGCCCAGCAACTGCAAGGTCCTGAGTTCGATTCCCTGTACCAAAAGGAAGAAAAAAGAAAGAAATGGTGAAACAGATGTTGGCTTTATCGAAAGACCTTGAAGGGAGTTTGATGTGTTGTTTTGGTATCTTTCACCTCTACAGGAAAAGCAAAGCAATCAGTATCCCTCTGGGTTGGAAATAAATTTAAAATACTACATTTTAGGTATAGATGACAGAAATTTGAGAAGGTAGGCTACACACACATCTCAGCTGCCAGAATAGGAACCTTTCCTACCAGGAAATAAAATCCCCTCAACACACACACGCACACACACACACATGCACACTTGAGCACGAAGATAGATTTTATAAAACTTGTGTACCTCATACTAAAGACAACCATTCTAGCTGACACTCAGGATACTGACTGGTAGATAACACACGGTCATGGCAAACTTGGTGAATAATTTCCCGGCCTCCAGAAGCTGCAGAATCCTAGAAAGAAAGAGAAACTGGCATGTTGAGGAATGAGAAGTTGCTACTCCTGATGAGGGGATGCAGAAAAATTTAAAAAGGAAAGGGAGGGAGGGAGGAAGAGACAGAGAAAAAACTTGACAAAGTCCTCTGACCTAGAGTGAGAAACAGTCCGTCTAGCTAAGGAACTCCTGTGATCCTGATAGTGTGCCTACTCAGTAACATAAATGTGATCTGACTGAGCAAGACAATCCTTGTTTCTTAAACTCATGTTTAAGTGCAGAGATATGGGAAACTACCATTTTCCAAAAGCTTCTTGTGGTACATGGTTTGACAGTTACTGAGCAACATCCTCGGCCCTTTTAAAATTTTTTAAATTTTGAGACAGGATCTCACTAAGTTGTTGATTTGCCCCGGCTGGGCCCCAGATTGTCATTCTCCTTCCTCAGCATTTATTTATTTATTTATTTGGGTACTAACATTGAACCTAAGCCCTCACACCTGCTAGGCCAGTACTCTGCCACTATGCTACACTTCTAACCCTGTACCCATTTTATAGAAAAGAAAAATAAGGCTCCCGATCACGTTTCCAAGGTTTTTTGAGAAATGGAATTGGATTACTTATGTTCCCTATGATCCAGGAAAGAAAGCAGAGGTGTATGTAGTGTATTTTATCAGTTCTATCTGAAGAAAAAATGTGGTTATTTCGGGACATTTAAAAAATTAAATACAACCTAAATAGTCATACAAGTAAATGAGAATACCCTACCATTGTTGACATTTAAAATGTTTTTAAACATTAAGAGTAACCCAACACAAGCTGGGCGTGGTGGAGCATGCCTATAATCCCAGCACTTAGGAGGCTGAGGCAGGAGGATACTTGAGTTCAAGGCCAGCCTGGGCTACAAAGTGAGCTGAAGGCTAGCCTGAACTGCATAGCGAGACCCTGTCTCATAAAGAGAGAGAGAAAAAAAAAGAGTAATCCAACACAAAACTAATTGCATGGTATATATAAAAATAGGATGATAAATATAAACCTGAGCTCAAGGAAATATATAAAGAGGTTATGACCAGTAATTTTGGATGGTAGGATATGACTTTACTATTCTTCTGAAACACAGTATATAATTTTTTCCTCTGTAGACTTTTAGATTTTATAATAAAATATTCTAATTTTATTAAGAAAAGGAAATTTTTTTTTGCTTTTAAGAGATAGCTTTTCAGTTGCATAGAAACTTTCAACACTATGAAAAAGCTCTACTTCCAGAAAATTCTGAGCAGGTCAGTGTTTCTTAAGGGAAAACAAAATTAAAGATTAAAAAAAAATACAGGCAGCTTCTTTCCACTGCCAAAGAGTCTCTTGTTCTAATGCACCTGATTTATTTCAAAGAGATATTGGATGCATAATCTTAGAGCTGAGGTACACAAAATGTGGTTCCAAGTCTCTTAGCTTTCAGACAAAACGTAAAGCAATTTCTTGTTGTATATTAGCATGACTTGATATCCTACTGGAATTCTCTTTTGCTGATAGAGTATAGAGTCCATCTGAAGTCTAAGACATCAGCTTTACCAAAGATCACAATTATTTTCACCAAACAGAGGACAGACAGGTTTTACCCTTATCATTGGACTTAGTAATGTTTGGGGATAGTTTAGCTCCATTTAACTTTGGGTGAGTACCACCCAAATATATATTCTTTTTATACAGATCATTATGTTTTAGTTCTGTTGTTTTTGTTTTTTGGTTTTTCTCCGGTACCAGGAACCGAACTCATGACCTTGCACTTGCCAGGCAGGCGCTTTTGCCGCTGAGCTAAATCCCCAGCCCCTATTTTTTAGTTCATACGGGGTTATAGCCCAGTTAAATTGCAGTATAGGGCTGACGATGAAGTTTGGTGGTGGAATATTTGCCTAGTATGCCAGAAGCCTGAATTCTATTCCCAGTACCTCAAAAACAAAACCAAAAAATACCAAAACACTGCAATACATCACACGAATGATCATGAACTAAATTTTACTACTTTGGCTCTGTGCCTTCTTTCCTTTAGGGAGGTATTTGGAGAGCACCTTATTTCATTTACATCTTATACATGTTCAGTTTCATATTTAAGACTGTGACTAATTTGTATGGTTGTTTCCACATAAGACTGAATTTGAATATGAACTTTAGCTAATAGCTTGAAATTTTTTTTCAATTTTAAGGAAAATCTTATTTTGAATTATAATGAAGATCCTGGAAAATCAGAGGAGGAAGAATATTTCTCACCAAAAAATTTAAATTGTTCTGTTTATCATTCTCTTATAATTAGATTAATTTTCACAAATTAATTGAGAAAAGGGATAAATAAATTTGAGTACAAGTCTAGGAATTTCCCTTATTTTTAATACTGGTATAAGGAGGGGAAAATGGTGTGTGAAAAATCTGGGTTTTTAAGATGCAGGCTAAAAAGTTCCAAAAATCTTTATATATAAAAATTTGCAAAATTATTTATGACAGTATTTTTCTCTATAGTAAACTTTCAAGGCAATTTTAAATAAAATAGTATAGAAAGCATTTATTTACTTTACTTTCAAAGTGCTTTTGCATACTGTTTAATTCCATCCACTGTAAAAACCCTGTGAGCTGTTATTATCTTATTTTTACAGTCCAGGAATTGAGGCTTAGAGAGATTAAGCAAGTGGCTCTTCAGAGGTCTCAAAACGTTTGGTTTTTAACCAGTTTTGTTTTTGTGTAGGCTCCTAGAGCATGTGTGTCATAGGAAGATAACATAGTTTATATGAAATCATAGTATTTCTTTGGAAAAAGTATTTCATTAGAGTTCCTAATATCACAAGTTACTTGTGCCTACACCAACATGCATGGTTTCAATTAAGAAATAAACTTCTCAACTTACGTTTGAAAATGAGAGAATGATACTTGGAAATAAGATAAAGTAAAAAAAATGGATCAAATTACTGAATATCTACATCAGAAGTTCAGAGAACTGTGAACCATTTACTAAATAGCCCCATTGCTTGCTTTATAAATAAAGTTTTATTGGAGCACAACATTTATATATGATAAGTGCTTTAGCACTTTGGAGACAGTGTTGAGAAATTGTAACACAGAGCATATCCTGTAAATCCTAAGCTATTTACTCTCTGTAAATGCAAACATTTTCTTTACTCTTGGTCTAAATGATTTCTTAGTTTTTTAGTTTTTTTCTTTTTCTTTTCTTTTTTCTGGTCTGGTCTGGGCTTATTTCATCTTGGCCTCCTCTCCTCTCCTTTTCTCTTCTCTCCCCTCCCCTCCCCTTTGCTTTTTGGTGCTGGGGATGGAACCTAGTCTTTTGTATATGCTATACACTGTGCCACTGAGCAACATCCCCAGCCCACACCTTGAAAGATTTTGATGAAAGTATCTATTTGTTTCTTTATTTAGACAGACTTGCAAACAAAACTGCAAGAAGAGACCCCCCAAAACAGATGTAAAGTAATTAGATATGTTTTATATAATTCCAAGTATATAGTAGTAATTTGCTAGTTTTCTTAGCAGTGGTCATGAGACGTCTTGGGGTTTATTAAGCCCCTACTACATATCAAACTTCAAAGGCAAGTGTGGTATCTAGGAAAACCAATAACCTGTAAGAAAGTCCACCTGAGTTTTAGAGCAGCCTGTGCCGTTAGTTTCATTCTGGGGTCTTTTTTCATTTCCATTCATTTGTCAGTGAAGTTTCATTTTGTTTACAATTGTATGAATGCTTCTAGTCTCACGAAATACACACAGTTCCTTCCTTAGCATCAAGACAGTTGCATTCTCTTCCAAACCCTTGTTTCATTAGTTCAGTTCTTAGCATGACCTAGTGTTCCATTTGTGTGCTTGTTTTGGTCTTTGAAAACTCGGCACTTGATTTTATCATGCTAGTAAAGCAGTTTTGTTGTTGTCATTGAAATGACTGAAAAGGAGAAAACAGAAATGCCCAGTGAAGAAAATCAAACCTCTGATTTAACTGCCTAAAGGCAATAATTCTTAATGCTTTTGTTGTATATCCTTACTAGTATTTTTGTGGTGATATGTTTGTAAACTCAGGGAAAATGGGCCATGATATTCAGTGTTTACCGATTTCTATAATGTGTTTATCCATGAGTCTGGTTAAGCTTGACATTTGGCTTACAAATTTCCTATTTTGTAGTTGGCTGTTTTTAGCCAGTATGAGCCAGCTCAAACATTCTAGTGTGTGTGTGTGTGTGTGTGTGTGTGTGTGTGTGTATGTGTGTTTGTGATTTTTTTCACAGAAATACGGAATTTTTTCTCTGATGTGTCTAGCTTTTGTCTTTCTTGAGCCACATTGAATGAAGAGGAATTGTCTTGGGGCACGTACATTGTATGTAAACACTTCCTTTTTTATTTTTTAGAACATTTAAAAAACTGGGTAAGCAGGCTTCTACGTGGACATGTCTGATATATCCCATTGTAATTCACTTTTTTCATTTACCAAATATGGTGAAATATATTTTTAGTTTATTTTTGGTGTTGAGGATTGAACTTAGGGCTTCATACATGCTAAGCAGGTGTTCTACCACTGAGCTACAGCCCCAATCCAGTATTTTTATAATAGCAGATATACTTCTAAACCATAAAAGTTTAGGACTACATATTTCATTGATTGGGCACATTAGATTTAGTTAATTATTCTTTTACTTTAAGGAACTTTAGAATAGTTCCACAATTTTGCTATTACAGATGATACCAAGTTCTTGCAGCAGACTTTCTGAGATATGAGAGAAAATATTTTATAAACTAAAATGTCCTTGCATTCCTCAAAATACTTGCTATTAAGTGCATCAATATCCATCACGTGCTAGAGAATAAAGGCAATTATCAATTTATTATCTAGCCCTTCTTGTTCTCAAAGGTCCAAAATATGAAGTAGCTAGGCCTCATTTAGTCCTCAGTCACAAATTTGAGTTTTGGAGAAACTGTGGTTAAACTCCTGACCTGAATTTGATTAATATTATTTTCAGTTGATCAAACTTGTCTGTGCTGTTTTACATGTTTTCCTGTAATATTGTATATTAAAGTGTTCTTGAATCCACCAAGCAAAATGTAGTAGACACACCTGCACTCATACTACTGCATGATTTCTTTCTCCCAGGAGCAAGTGAACACAGGTAATAATCACAATTATGTCCACTCTGTACTTACCAAAAAGGTTTCCTTGTTTCTTTTCTTGTATCAGTGGTTTTGTTTTATTATTTTAAGTTAGATATATAATCTCATCGCCAAAGTTGCCTCGCATTATAAGGTTGTTACCAGCATTATACAGTTGTTAGGAAAGTTTGTGTTTCAGAGAAAAAAAATCCTTCAGCAATTTTTAAATTTAAGTTGTAGGTATTTTTCTTATACCTAGGGAAAACTCATTTTGTTCCTAGCCTTTTATTATGAAAGGTTTTAGACATATAAAACTTAAAGTAATTCTGCAGTGAACACCCAAGTACCCTACATCTATATTGCACAACTGACGTTTTGTCTCACACACATCAGTCTGTGTTTGAGTGGGTGGGGTAATTCAGAGTAAATCACAGCCTTCAGTACCCTTCTCCTTTCAGCATCTTTATCATCACCTAGAGAGGAAATCCCAATTTAGAAGCCAAGTATTCTCTCTTCTGGAAGTTAAGGCTCTGTCCCTAGAGCAGGTTTAGGAATCCATAAATAAGACATATCTGGCAGGTCCCTGGGCATGACTGACTTTAGCTCTGCCCTATAAGATCTTATGAGGGCAAAGAAATAGGTAGTATGTTATGGCCTTCCAATGAAATGCCAAATGACAAGCTGCCCTGTGCTGGGCAATCTCCCAACTATACTTCCTGCTTTAACTAGGGTTGTCAGTGTATGTGATATATTGGCCTTTCGTCTTACCTCAATTTGATTCTCACCCAGTTTTCATTGGCATGTTGGAAGGTGTCAAGAAGACGAAGAACTTAGAACTCATCGTTGGAGTGAACAGTGTAGAGGGGTGACTGCAGTCCAGCATAGCCAAGTCAAGGCTTTCAGAATCAGGCCAAGTAGAAGCAAGATGACTGAGAAAAGAGAGAATCCTGTCTACCTCTAATAATTATGACTTGCTGATTTCTTCAGGTGTTTTGAAGCCTTTTACATCTACTGTCAGTCAAACCACGATGAAGAGCCCTATGTCAGCATCACTAAGAAGCGGCAGATACCGAAAAATGGCCTCTCAGAGGAGATTGAAAGGGAGGTGGGCCAGGCAGAAGGCAAGCTATTCACCCATCGGTCTGCATTCAGCCGGGCATCAGTGATCCAGGCTTTCCTGGGGTCAGCCCCGCAGCTGACCCTACAGATGTATATAAGTGTCTTGCAGCAGCATATCACTTTTGGAAGAGGTATGTATATTTTTGTTTTTGTTTGCATTTCAGTCTTAAAATGTGAAGCAAAGCATACAGTTTGTTTTGTTTCAAGTGAAATTCATCCATATGTGCATACAGTTGGAGGTCTGCATTCCAGTTACTAAGCCCACATTTTACCGAGTTAAAATGAGAACATTCATGTTGCTTATGAATCTGCGTTTTGTGCAGGGCCCCAAAGGGAAAGCTCACTTATATTCCACTGTGGATCAGCTGAGGTGGCTCAAAGATGGAGGGCTAGACTACATCAAGGCCCACTGACGCACATGTCTTGTTGCTCTGATGTCTTGATGCTTGCTGTTTTGTGGGAATCTCAGTTCTTCTCTATTTGCTCTCCATGTGGAGTAGTTTGAGTTTCCTTGCAGCATCGTGACTACTTCCAAGGGTGAATATCTTCAGAACAAGACAATGCCACATCAAAGGCATATGGCCTTTTGTGGTGCAGCCTTGAGAGTTACGGATCATTACTTCTTCTGCCTTCTGTTTGTCGACATAGTCACAAAGTCTTGCTCTCGTTCAAGGAAACAGGAGAGGGGTAAACTCTTAACTCTTGCTGGGGGATGCAGAATTGTGGAAGTTTAAGAAGGACCAAAAATTCCACTGTGGCAATTTTTTTTTTTGTCTTTTCTTCCGGTACCAGGAATTGAACTCACGACCTTGTGCTTGCCATGCATGCGCTGTGCCGCTGAGCTAAATCCCCAGCCCTGTGGCAATTTTTAGAACAGACAGTTTGCAGCTGAAACTGCAGAACAAGACAATGCCACATGAAAGGCATATGGCCTTTTTGTGATGCAGCCTTGAGAGTTACGGATCATTACTTCTTCTACCTTCTCTTTGTTGATGTAGTCACAAAGTCTTGCTCTTATTCAAGGAAACCGGGGAGAGGTAAACTCTTAACTCTTGCTGGGGGATGCTGAATTGTGGCAGTTTAAGAAGGGCCAAAAATTCCACTGTGGCAATTTTTAGAACAGACAATTTGCAGCTGAAACTGCAGCTGCCAAAGGCGGTTGGACTTGGGATTTCACCTCTATTTTTCAGTGATACTTCTAAACTAGCTGAGGCAGTTGATTGTAAGAGCTTTGCAGTGAATGATGGAATCAAGACCCACTATTCTGTCCAATTGAAGTTCTAAGAGATATATTAGAACCTTTCACATTTAAGTGAACACAGCTTTCTAACCTTTGAGCTATTCTCACATTGTCAAATTGAGAGCAGAATTTGGTTTTTAATTCATTTTTTCCTAAAAACTTCCTTTTGCACTGGACATAAATGAAAAGACTTCAACTATGAAAGGGTAATAACTGCTCTCATATTAGTACTCTATGTACATGAAAACCAAGCACTCTGGTAAGTTTTACTATAGACACACAAAATAGTTTAAAAGCCTTAAGTTGAAAAGAATACATATTTAGGAAAACACTGAAGTCAGAATTTTAAAAATACTCTTCAATAACGCCGTGACTTTTATCTTCCTCTGTCTGTAGTTTAAACTGGATGGTAAAATGTCATAAGTCAGGGTATGATCACATGATACTTTTATATCTGAATTGTATCCCTTAGCTAGGTTACCTGTAATTCTTAAAATATTAGTTAGAGTTTTAAGTAGAGTTCTTCAACTTTGGTACATCAACATTTATATGAAAGTGCCTCCCACAACCTGTGGTAGACAGTATATAAAAATACTGTAATACCTTTGTTCTCTAAGGACTTACAACAGAAATGTGGACTGGCCAAGGTAAGTCTACTCTAGTTCCAGTTTATACACATTTCCTGGTTTATTGTTTTTTCAAGGGGCAGAGACATACTGATACAGTGGAGGAAGTGGTAGCCTGTTTGATTTTTATAACTAGATCATTTTTCTCAATTTTTTGATAGTGAAGACTGCCTTCTGGGCCTAATCTGGAGACTGACAGTTTTCTGTAAATAAAATTGTATTGTAACACAGCCATACATTTTCATTTATATATTGCCTGTGACTGGCGCCCACAGTGGCAGGGTTGCAGTAGACAACATAAGGGTCACAAAGCCTCAGACCTTTACTCTCTCAAGCCTTACACTGAAAGTTTGCCAAAACTTTCTGTAGTTTCTCAAACAGAATTCCATTCAGGAAGATAAAATCTGTCTTGGAAAACGTATCAAAAGGGATATCTGTCCGATATCCCCAAGGACTTGGAAAAATACGTCTTGTGAGTCAAATGATAAATTAAATAGACATGCAAAAAGAAAGTGGGGATGATTTTGTTAGAGAGATGATGGCCATTTATGCAGGTTTTGTCCATACCCAGTTAGTCTCTTAATATATCTGAGGAAGAAATCACTCACCTGTAGGGAAAAAAAAAAAATCCTTGTAAATGGAACTTGGACTAGAGCAGTGGTGGTGAGCCTATGGCACATGTGCCACAGCAGGCTGTTTGTACCACTGAATGTTCTGACAGTTTCGCCATCGTTGGATTAGGGTGTGTCACAAAGGCAAAAGTTGGAAAGGTCTGTCATATAGTTAGGAATGTATTTGGTGCATGGGACAAACCCCTGATGACAGGATTAAACAGCCTAAAGTTTATTTCATTCATTTAACAAGAAACAGGAAGTAGGCAGTTGCTGGCACTGTTTCAACAATGGCAATCTTGATATATGTGAAAATCTACTGGTCTTTTGCTTGCATTGCCACTTCAGTCTCAACCATCATAACTGCATTCAAGGGAGGAATAAAGACTGAAGATGGAAGGGAAGATGTCTTTCTCCTTTTAATACTAAGTATAACTTTCCCAGAAATCTCCCTAATAAACTTTACTTTGAGTCTCACTGACTAATCACACAACGACCTAGCTTCAGGGAATTCTTGGAAAGCCAGAAATAGCAGTGATGGCCATCAGTGGCTTAGATCAATATCCTCAAACTTCCCTGATGATTATTAGAGTTACCTGGGGCCTCGTGAAGTATCTAGTTTACTGGGACTCTGTCATCCTGTGTGCTCTGAATCTGTGTTTGCTGAGCAAACATGGATGAATTTGGCGTTCCTAGAGTTTGGCATGAGGAAGAGAAGGTGGAAACAGCTACGCAGTGACTGGAGAGATTTTTTTAAAAATTGTTTTATAATTCATTTAAAATATATAGTTCAGTAGCTTTTACTATATTCAGATTTGTGCCATCATCACCACTAGCTAATTGTACTACATTTTCATCACACCAAAAAGGAATCTGCCGAAAAATAAAAAGAAAGAAAAGGAAATCTGCTACCCATGAACAGTCATTCCCTTTTTCCTCGTTTTCCCTGCCCCTACACCCTGGCAAGCACTTCTCTATTTTCTGTTTCTATGGATTTACATACTTGCATATTTCATATAAACAGGTCATACATTATTAGAAAGTTATCTCATAGTCAAAGAATAATTGACACTATAAGCTTTACTATTGGGTGAGTTTCATCATATTGAGATTCCCTGAGTTGCTCTGATCTCAGTAGGGCCTTGGTCAAGTCACTGGACCTTGGAGGATATGTTGGGATGAAGCCCAGATGAGGACACTAAGGTTTTTCTGCTCTAGGATGTCCCTGCAGCCTGTCATTTGACCTGCCGGGACCTCACAGTGCCCTTCTTCCGTTCTCGTGGTAATATTGGCAGTAATAATGATTATTCCACGAACACTTGCTTTGTGCTAACCACTGTGAACAGGCATCACAGAATTTCATTTCCATGGTGTCCTTGGTAATATCCTCTTTATCTTACTAAAGAGGGAAATTGTAATTACAGTCTACCAGAGGAGCCAAGATTTGAGGTTATATTTGTGCGATTTCATTCTTGGATGCAATGAGTTTTATGTTCTGTGTTTCAGATTCCATGCTGACCTCTGAGAATAAAGTGGTAGAAGGTGGACAGGCCCTTGTCATCTTAGAATGGACAGACCTGAAGCAGATAATCAATCATATATGTATTTTATTTAAAATAAATCCTGCAAAGTGGAGGTTAAGCAGCCACTGTGAGGGATATTGAGGGAATCTAACCCAGTCTCAGAGATGAGGCAAATATTTACAGGACATAGGTTTATATTGAAAACTAGTATGTGAGGTGGAGAGGGCAGGTGAAGAAAAAGCAGGAAAAAGCACCCCAGCATTTCAGGCTTTACCCCTGAGGCAATGGAAAGGCATTGATAAGTTTTACGTGACTGCAGATGGAGGATTATCTTCAGTTGATTACATGGTAGGGACAACATCAGCCCCTCTCTGCCATGAAGGATGATTATGACAGGGCCTGGGTTATTCCACTTCTGTGTCATTCAGTGAAAAGTGAGGGAACCTAGACAGGTATTATCAGAGGGTTAGTATTTATACTCAGATCTTGACATGCTGGTTAAATAACTTCCTGATATTTAAAATCTGTTTATGTGGCTAATGAGTGTGGCTTATTATACTGCAAGATATAGCCCTCTGGCTTCTTCACAACACTGCACTGCAGAAGAATTCATTCAGGGCATGAGAAAGCACAATAGGTGGTTTAACCATATCAGGTGAGCAGTTCTCTGCAGGCCAGGTGGTAATTGACATTAATGGGCACTATGACTTCTGTATGGGGCCAGGCTCTCTCAGGTTCTGTTTGGTGTCCAAGGTGGATTGGAGGCTGAATTTGAATGAGCCCTTTCTGGCGAGCACTCTGGAGAGTTCAGGGGCTGAAAGGACCAGCAGGGCGTCTGCCACCCCTTTATGCATTGTGCTCAGCTGTGCTTATGGGTTTCATATGAAACATGGGGGCCACAGCCAGTATATCATCAGCCTGATCCAGCACTCTCACAGATGGCCCTTTCACATTCGTAAGGAACCTGTACTCCAGAGGGAGAGGGTGGAGTGATAATTGCTGCCATTGGGATTACATGAGCCCACCCAAGTTTAGGTCTTTTGTGTCTTTCTGAAAGGCAAGGAAGAGGGATGTGGAGAATGAATTTCCTCTAGCTTGAGTCCTGTAAAGAGGACACCAGTGGTGACCAGT